TTTCAGCATCGACAAGAACACTTCTACTGAAGCAGCACTGACAAACGTGAAGAACAGAGGAGGCCTCACACTCCCCCACAAGGGCCTTTTCCAGCTACTGAAGAAAGCGGAACAGTTCTTCGTGCAAAATGAAAACCACCAGACTGTCTACTGGGACACAATCGACTGTGTTCTTGACACATGCGCAATAACGTTTCCATGCGCTCAACACAAAGAAACAATCGCCCAGTTGCTCCACTACTACTTCAGCATTCGAATGCGACAACACTGTAAGCATATTACGATGAGTAGGAACAAACAAGTTTAAGAGATAAAGAAATCAGCAAAGCAGCGCTCCTCTTAATTTAAGGGCATGGGCGAGGAACACAGGATGTATGAGATGGCGTTCTTTGGTAGTATGCGGTGAATTCAGCTTTTATGTACAGTGCCCCTCAAACTTAACGCCGCCACTCGGTTTCGCAAATATTGATCCATTCAATTTTATTGCATGCTACTTAAACATGAATTGATCGCTGCAGCTGCTGGAATACCTTCCCCTGGTTAAGTTTTAATCGGGGACGGAAATCTTCACCAACCATTTTGACTGCTATGTTCAGGAATAGCTCAAAAAGTGAAGAAACCGAACCATCTCGTGGCGGCGTTAAGTTTGAGGCGCACTGTACATTTTAAAGCAAAAATATTTGTCAGGTATTTTTTACCTCTAAGACGGGGTGACACCATATTGTGCGAGCATAGATGAAAAGTGATTTATGTCTTATAACCGCTACAATTGTTTGACTTCCAGTCACTGTGCCATCATGTCAGTCAGTACGTCATCATACTGTGTCATCGTTTCAGCCACTATGTCATCATGAATAGGAATTGTTTCTGCTCACAAGGTTTGTATGTTCCACAGTACAAGTTGACATTGAATGTATAAACCATTTGTAATGCTAAAACCTTTGTGCGCATTTAAAGAATTATTTAGGCCCCACTATGTAACATCATTAGAATTTATTTGTTTCTAAAAAGGCAGGAGCAAAGTGGAAAAAATCACCCGACCTCATATAAAGCCACGCAATGTGTGTAAACCATTTATCGAACTGCTACCAAACATGTTGTTTGACGAAAAAATTCGAGCATGACCCAGGTGTTGACTCTAGATACTCTAAATTATTGAAGACCCAGTAGATTATGCCGGGAAGATTTATATTTATACGAGAATTTTTGTCACGTTGAGTCATCATCGAAATGTTCTCGTTTGGAAAAAAAAAACAGGAACCGCACGGGGGAAAAGGCAATCAGTGCCAGTACGCCAACATAAATCCATCATTTCACAACACAATACACAGGGATTGAGTAAAGAATGCGTAATTTCCTTCACAAGCCCTATAAGCAAGCCTTCACAAGCCCTTCTATACTTGCGCGCCATCTATCCCCGTGCGAGTGAAGCGCGTTCGGTGCGCCGAACATAATGTGGTCGCCGCGCGAGACAGAGAGTCATCACCTAAATGTATTTCTTCCACCGTGGTCGTGGAGCATTTCTTTTCATTTATTTTTCTTTTTTTTCGTCTTCTTCTCCAACGTGTTTGATGCGCGAGGAAGCCTGACCAAGCTTTGATTGAACGAGAAGCTCGAGCGCGAAAGCACTTTTCGGATGCTCCTAGTCGGCCAACGGATCTCGAATTGAGGTTCTGAGCCACGTGGCTCGGAGTGACGCAAACCGGGCATGTTGTGAGATCGGGGTTGGTGTCATCCGAGCTGGGCAGAAAGGCTCTGCGTGTGCAACACGCACTAGCTCACAAGTCCTGCACATTTCTTCTCCAAACATGATCCTGTATATTATATGGCAGCGGTGGCCAAACCGCGGCTCGGGAGCCGCATGCGGCTCTTTGCTGGTCCAAGTGCGGCTCGCAGATCCCTCGTAAAAGAACCCCCCCCCCCCAGCCCCCCCCCCCCCCCCCTCCGCGCCTTTCCGCGTTTCCACAGAAAAAAAGAAAGGATTTCAGAATAAAGCACGGCTGGCATTTTGGCAGCCTTGTAGCCCCATACGTACAGTCGGACTCTAAACAAGATTTAAGTTCCCTCCCCTCCCACCGCCCACGGCTTTTAGAAGTTTTGTGGTTTCGTTTGCGGCTCTTAGGCCGGGTCAGCCTGGCCACCCCTGTTATATGGTCACATAATCCTAATCCTAAGCTAAGACCAGAAGCCCCGCCTTCAGCGCCCCACTTCAGCGCCCTAGTCTCAGACGCTGTTTCTAGCAAGTCCGCACTGGTTTGGAGCGCACTTTCGTTTATTCTAGCGTTGAATATGCACGTGACAAAAACCTCACATGCGCCAAGTTTTCAGTCACCAAGAGTTCATTCAGTCACCAAAACTTATGCATTTTTACTCGAGCGACGCTAAAACGGCTTAAATTAGTCTAGTCGCATTTTTAGAGCTCATGACCACCACTAGGGGCTGTACCGCGGCATGGGGTTGGCCCGAGTAAAACATATCGAGGGGCTTTAGGCCCGAGATGCTCGCCTATTCAATCCAATGAATGGCCAAACTCTCCCAATACACGGCTCTGGATGGGGCCTTGTAGTGGCGCCATTCAATCCAATGAATGGCGCCACTTTGAAAAGTGGCGCCATTCATTGTTGTGGAAATGCACGAGACACGTGCCGCGCTCCGCTTCTGGGAAAAAAAACATGGCGTTTGGAATCTAGCTTAGTGCTGCGCTGTGCCGCCGTGATCTTCCCACGGGCTGCATGTTTCACGTACCTCGTGCATTGGCGCACCTTGCGCTACTTTGAAAACATGGGGATGCTTTAGGGGACCTATAGATATAAGCGCACAGCTTTTGCAGCGGCGAAGACCCGAAACACAGTTGTTCGCTCGGGAGAAGTACGTTTCGGCGTCTCGCCGCAGCGGGGTGCCAGTCACGTGGCTCGCCTAGAGTGCCTTCATACACACGCGGGCTTGTGCTTAATTTGTGATATCTGAGCCATTTTTCCGCCCAATCGTTTTTTTTTTTTTTCTTTAGGCATTTTGATGTGCGCGCAATCCGGTGTCACTCAGCTCGAGCCCGTAGATTTGGCTAATGCATAGACGCCATTTCCCCGGCCAAGTCACGCACCAAGTGCGCGAGAGCGTCACGCGCTGGCACATTTAGGGTAACAATGGGTGTCTCCACCCTGAGACGGACAGACAAGCAGGCACCCCAGGCTCGCCTCTCATCCGTAAACTCATCCGTAAAGCCCCTGTATCCTGGGAAAAGTGATGTAATTCATTGTTGTGGAAATGCTTGAGACACATGCCGCGCGCCACTTCTGGGAAGAACGTGGCGTCTGAAATCGAGCTCAGTGCTGCCCTGTGCCGCCATGATCTTCCCAAGAACTGCACGTTGCACGTGACTCGTGCATCGACGCACCTTGAGCTACTTTTGAAACATGAAGCGGCTTTACTCATCCGTTGTCTGCCGCTCCACCTTTTACATTTCGGTGGCCGCTTCTCGTAGCGATCTGCCAGGCTTTGTCAGTATATAGGAGGCTATGGCTAAACATAAGAGTCCTGAAGATGAAAGCACACAAACACCATCTATACTTTGATTCACTTTTGCATGGTTCAATCCCCACCCCGGCCCGTTTCGGTCTGGATGAGCATCGTACCGGCGTGCGGTCGTGTATCACTGCTGCGTGATGCTCGTTAAAGACCCCAGGATAGCGGTTGTACTGGACTGGCTAAATTTCTCATCTACAGCTGGGAGACTCGTCGCCCCTTGGAGGTAGATCAAGTTCTAGGCTGTATGAACATAAACCCAACTGCATGTTTCACTCTAGCAGGAGCTATTTCAGCCGCGCATGCTAAAAACGCGAGCTAGCTGCTTTGGATGAAGCCTCGGCGGCTGCACAAGCGCTCGTGCAGCGAGTGCTCCAGTCGAGGAACTCAGAGCTATTCGCTCGCGCTTGCACATCCTTTGCAATTACTCCATGCCAACGTTATAGTACAGTGTAGTTATAGACAGATCTCACCAGCCAGTTTGACTCCGCCACCGCTGCCGCAATGCATCGAGGGAATTGTAATCTTTCTGCACGTGCGACAACCACGCTGGAGCTCTGCGCGTGTGGAGCATGAGGCGGCACGAGCCGTCTTCTGCACTGCTGCTGCCTCCTGCAAACTAAAGTTATGGTGGCGTCACGCATGCGCCTAACGCTTGGTGAGATCGGTCTATTGAAACCCTCAGTTGGGAAACTCACACTTGAACCCCGGGCCGCTGGCGTCCACCGAGACCGGGCTAAATACGATAACAGCGCCACCCTTTAGCGACGAGTTGAAACGTGAAAGCAGCATTACATTGCTTCTGCGACATGACCCTGCGAGATGGCGCCCCCGGCCCTTGACCGACTCGACGAGCAGCCGTGCAGTTCCCGGAGTGGACGCTGCGGGAGAAATGGCGGCGTTGCGATCGACATTAGCTCGGTTTTCGAGTACGGATCGGAACCACTTTTTTAAAGCAGGCTCTATGGCAGTTTCCCAACTGAGGGGTTCTAGTAACGTTGCTCCATGCTAAGATAAAACGAAGTATAAAACGAACGTTGCTTTTTGTTGTTGTTCCTGATTTTTTTTTTTTTTTTTTTTTTGCAAATTACGTGGCAAAATTAGCATAGTACTTCTAGCAACTTCCCGATTCTGTGCACCAGAATACACTTTTATGTCGAGCTTCTAACTGGCAAGGTATCACGCATTAAAAAAAATATCTAATCGCACTTTTGAAGATTTTAACTACGTTGAATTGCATTGGCCAAGATATCTCGAATGAAGCGTGCAATTAAATTTTATGACATTAGTCACCTCAATTTCAAATCCTACCTTCTTAGAATAAAACATATCTAATCAATTTCATTTAGTTATGGTTTTTCTAGAATATGTTTTCGTTTTATCTGTTTTGTGCATTGATAGCTACTGAAATACGACGTTGTAAACAGGAAGTCTATGAAACATAGTTTTTTTTTTCTTTTTTTTATCTAAAGACGACGACGAAGAAGAACCGTCTTCACCGCCTGTCGCTTGCAGAACACACGTCGCGCTTCATAAGAAAAAACGGTAAGTGCCTCATCTTTAAATACCTGCTTTGATTTCACTTTTATTAGGCACCGCGTCGTAGTTGCGCTGGGTGAAATAAGTTTCCTACACTCGATCAACTTCGAGCAACGAATTCCGAGTTGCTGGGTTCGAATACCGGCAGAAATGCCCACATTTTTCACAGAATACGTCACGCAAATAAAACTTCAGCTGCACGTTATAAGACCCACCCGGTTGTCTAATTTACATCTAAGTCCTTCGGCCGGGCGTGCAAAATGTTCTTTGTTGGTGCAACACGCACGTCCCCAAGATCTACCTTTATCACTCAGATATACAGGGTGTTTCCCAAAAACGCTTACAGGGTTTCTTTTCACTACAAAAATAAACTACGCATCTCCGCACACCCATTCTCCGCCCAAAAGGTACCGCTAAAGGTTTGACCAGATGCCAAAGCTTCCGCCCGAACCGATATTCTATTCAAAAATTATAAGTGATTTTCTGAAATTTTTTAATGGAAATATTGGGGCCCATTTTCGCTCGTTTTCGGTTTCTGTCGCCATAGAGCTCCAAGTGTTCGAGAGCTCCATCGGCCGTCGTTTTCTCATTGAAACTTCAGAAAGTCACTTATAACTTTTTGAATTAGACATTGGTTTCGGCTGAATCTTTGGCATCTGGTTCCGACCTCTAGCGTTACCTTTCGGCGGAGAATGGGCGTTAGGAAATGCGTAGTTTATTTTTAAGGTGAAAAACAAAAAATCTGTAAATAGTTTTTGGGGGGCCACCTTGTACATTATACTATACTTCGCAACCGACGCTACGTGCTAATGGGACTAACTAAACAGCGTCAAAAGCGCACCATCACGTTGTTCTTCATGTTTCTGAGCTCGTTCTGTCATCTCTGAACCAATCATAGCCCGAAAAGGCCTGGTGACTTGCACTTTTGAAGCTGGTTGATTGGTTTCCCTAGCTCGTAGCGTCGGCTGTGTCTGGACTAAAAAACACCCTCAATATTTTTTTTTAATTTGTGATTACGACTGTTTCCAGCTCAGTCAGTGTCTCTATTTTCTTTATTCTTTTTTCGGTATTGTGTGTAGTTTTATCAATATCACGGGCTGAAAGTTTGATATCGGGCGACTACTGCAAAACCGAAACTATTTGGTCGAGACGGATGGCAACACTGATCATCAGCGGTTACGGCCACGACGTGACGTCACCGTGGTGCTTCGGTATGCGGTACAACTAAAGCCCCTGTATACGGAAAAGTAGCGACATCCTTTGAAGAATGCCGCCTGCTATCTTGGAGCGATCCAGGCGGCGCTACCGTCGACGCGCGAGCGCGAAACATAGATAGCATCTTTGATCAACTCGCACCGGAATCGCCCTGAAACCAGCACAGTGCACAGCGCTCCTCGGTCGTGCAGCGCGATGTCGGTGCAACATCGAGGACAAACTGCGCCGCGCCGGTGCACCGCGGCGAGCTCCACCTTGCGTCACTTCGCGTTTTGTTCGTTTATTTTGCGTAGGTCAGCGCACGATGCCCGTCTGCTGTCAATTTCTTTTATTTCTTTACTCGCGGATTTGACGGTCCCACAGAAATAAACATCGTGGACGTGATTGTCGATGGGTTCACGAAGCGGGTGACAATTCCACATGTATATGTTGGCCATCATTATTGGTTCAAGAAAACGAAACGCCAGATAATACCGTACCTCGCTGTCATCGAAACGCCTCGCGCCGCTTTCCACGAAGTTCGTGCTTTTCGGGCGCTCCTTGCCACCGCAGCAATCGCCAGTAATCGCGGTGATGGTGAGAAGCTCGTCGTCTCGCCGTCAGAAGACCCGAGGAAATCATCTAGTGCAGCTGCAAGGCGTGTTCGTTTTTGCAAGATCGCCATCTCGATAGTCTGCGCGTCTGCTACTCCCGCCATCTTCTCGATTCCCGCTCCCGGCCGCAATGCCTGATGGGACTGCACCCCGGCGCACCGCCGATTTTCTTGGTGCACGTTGGGGCAACGAAAAGCCGCACCGCGAGGATGCGCTTCGTTGATCGAGGACGTACGGTGCGCACCGGTGCACTTGATCGAAGATGAAGGGGCGCACCTCAGTGCCCCGGTGCGCACCGGTGCGGATGATCGAGGATGCTAAGAGTAATCTACACAAGGTAAAGAGCGGACACTGCCGTAGGCCACAGCGTCCCGTATAACAATTAGCGCGCCAAACGGTCGATGAGAAAAGCTTACTCTTGATTCCGGTTCCGGTGGTTTCAGTTTCGGTTTCGTTTCCGGCGCTTTTTTTGCCGAGCTTGCTGTCGCGCGGCTTCTCTTACTTGATGGCACAAATGCTTCTTATTAGAGGCTTCACACCACGAAAGAGCAAAAATTGTCTTTACTGCTGTGAAATATTAAGATAGCTATTCTTGTCATACTGCTTCCGTTTGTTTACGTGTTTACGAAGTATTTTCAGGCAACAACAAAAAGTGCTTCAGAATGATTTATTTTGAGGTCAATCATAAACAGACTTGAACAATTCAGAATCGCGAAGTATTCTTCATGAGGGCACACACATTCATATCAAGAAGAAACGTTACAAGAGTCCCACATTTACCAACACTCCAAACCTGAACTTTCCAGCGATGGTAAACTGTTTGATTGAATTAATCATTGGTTGTCACAATGCTGAGCAGTTTCAGTAATGTGGACATGTGGACATAGCTATCATTAACAAGTACTGTAAGCGACTTTATTGTTGCGAGCTCGACATTTAGCGATGTGCCAGTTTCGGGAATATTTCGCGAGCACAAACTTTCACCACCGTGAGTGACATTGCATGTATTTATGTCCATAGGGCAACTTATTCACGTTACCAATTTCTTGTGAACTTGATCAAATCGCGATATTTGCGAAAATTAGGTCCACGCAAAGACTAGGTCGTTTACGCTATTAGGGCACAGCCTAGACTGCACAGATTTCAAAGAAGCAGATTCAATGTCAATATACAGTACCCTATTTGGAGTAGCCTAACACTTGTCGTAGGCTAACAAAAAGGACCTAATTCAGACCCAGGGAATATTCAACATTCCCATCTATATTCAACACAATGAGTGCACAGTAGAAAATATAGCAATGCTAGTACAGGGCCTGTGGGAATTACAGCAAGAACAGGCAGCTAAGGTCAAACCACCTAACAGTGTTAGGTAATAAAAATATACAAAAAATCTGTTACCAAGGTAATCACACAAGATTGGGTCAATATACAAGGCACATTGATTAAAACATAAACATATCGGACACGCTCGGCATACACTCAACGCACACACCCATCAAAGATCACTTTGCTACAAAACGTCCTCATCCCGTATATAAAAAAAACTATGTCCTGCATTATAAAGTTGCAAAAAAGCCAGAAATATAATCGGCATGCAAACCTCACAACCCAATTAGAAATCATTCTTTCATAGGCGCCTGAAACACCATACCATACTAAGCTTCGAACTTGTCGAGTTGAGCGCCAGCAACAGAAGAATGAAACCGAACTTTTTCCAAGTTTCGATTAATAAAGCGCACATGCCAGCACAACCGCACCCTGCAAAATATCTTCAAAAACCTCCGCTGACACTCCTCGGAGCATAAATGCAAAAAGCCAATACGCGACAGATGGCGATACAAAACATCACAGACATTGCGCTGGTGTGTTACGCTTTCTATAACACACATGAAGTGAGATTCCAGGCTCTGAATGTAAGTGAAAGCAGCCTCCGAAGGTACAGTTAATTACCGAACATCTTTCCTGGATAATGAGAGGCTTTAAGCATTGTAAAATACTGGTGGGGCCAGTTCAAGTTGTCAGACCCTTCCCTCAGTGACCCAGAACAGAGACAACCCTGTGAACTTTTTTCCAGGAACAGCTTGATTAGAAATCCTGGAACATAATAGGTGGCAGAGTCGTCTATTATGTTAGAGTCTTTACTTGATACAAGTTCCGAAATATTGTCCAATGGAGGGAAGTCGTCCAAGGGGGCACATTCCACGGCATCAGCGATTGAGGTTGTCTCTAGTGGAAATGGGGACATCTCCTGAAGGAGGTTAGTGTTGTCATCTTCAACATTTCCCTTTTCCGAGAGTTTTAGGAGCTTCCTAATCCCAATGTGCTTCAGTCCACAAGTAAACTGATACACATTAGGATTGGTGTTGCAGCCGTGTTGTTGTCTCATCTGCCAGAAAATATTTTCGAGGGCATCTTGCTGCAGTCGCCGCGTAAAAAGAAAGCTGAAGTTATATTTCTCAGAAATATCCTCCCAGAGCATGAGGACGGCCCTGATAGTATACCTGCCACCCAGTGACTGTTTGTGGCTGCCGTCTACCCTCAAACTTCCAGGCTGCCACCCATGGAAGTTGGTTGCAAAGGAAATCAACCATTTCAGTGTCGCCGTTTCAAATCGCATAGCGTAACTTTTGTTCAGATTTTTTTGGTCTCGAGCTGTTAAGACAGTCAAAAAGTTTGTCCATGCGGTCACAAAAGTATGCCGTGGACATGGCCGCCTCAGGGAGCTGTCTGGCATAAACAAGAGCTAAAAGTGCAACGCATACTGATGAACTGAGGACCTGAGTCGCACGTTTCACCTTCATGTTACTGAAAGGTTTCTGGTGAATATGCCAGTCTGTTAGTTTCGGGGCTAATCGTAGTCGCATCTCGTGCGCGGAGTGGTAAAGTTGCACAATGTAGTTCCAGTCTACAGTTTCACTCCCGATGTGAAGCTTGTGGGCCTGCAGGTTGTTACGGGTGGTCTTTATCAGGTTCGGGACATCAAAAATAAAATAGACACTTTCATTTCTTACTTTCAAAAATGGCTGCTCAACAGACACTCCAAGTAGATGCGCCAAACTTACGTTGGAGGCACCCTGGTCACAGACCACTGCTTTGATACTAATGCCAATGTCCTTCAGCTGCTCAGTCAATGACATAAGCAGGTTACGAGTTACAGAGGATGGTGTTGACGTATGTCCAATAGTATATGCTACAGGT